CCAGAATGAAAAGGCAAGCTACAGAATGGGAGAGAGTGTGTACAAATCGTATATATGACAAAGGGGTTAATATCCAAGTTATATAAAGAACTCACAACATTCAATAGCAACACAACAAACAGTCCAATCTGAAAATGGACAGAGGAGATAGATTCGAAAGAAGGCATAGAAATGATCAATGAGTATATGAAAATCTGCTCAGGATCATTAATAATCAAGACAATGCATATTAAAGCTACAATGAGAGTTTATCTCACGTGTGTTAGAATGACCATCATCAAAAAGGGGTGGGGGGGGAGGGGAGAAGAGAGAGAAAGAGAGAGTGTTGGTGATGATGCAGAAAAGAAAGAGCCCTCTTGATGGGGATGTAAATTGGTGCAGCCTCTATGGGAAACCGTATGAAAGCTCCTCAAAACAATCAAAAACACATCTAGCATGACGAGCCAGAAATCCCACTCCACTCCCTGGGCACATAGCCAAAGGAAGTGGAAAGAAGTTACCAGAGAGAGAGAAGCGCCACCGTGTCCATGGCAGCACTGACAACTGCCCAGACACGGAAGCACCCTCAGTGGCTGTCCCTCGGTGGATGAGTAAGATGTGGTATGTGTGTGCTCAATGGAATACTACTCAGCCCCGAGGGAGAAGGAAATCCTGCCATTTTCAACATCATGGACGGACTCTGCGGGCATTATGCCAAGAGAGATAAGTCCCACATGGAAATACCAACACTGCAGGGCATCACATATCTAAAATCTTAAAAACAGAGTCAAGCATGGAAGCAGGGAGCAGATAAGTGGTTGCCATGGGCTGAGGGGCTGAGAGGGAGAGAGAGGGGTGGGGAAGGGTACAGACTGCAGCTGTAAGATGAATGAGAACGGAGGATGCGAAGTAAAATGCGGTGGTTGTGGTGGATAACACTGTAGCACGGAACTGAAATCTGCTGAGAAAGGAGAACTTGCATGTTCTCACCAATTAAGTAAATAAATAAAGGAGGTGATGGATGTGCTAACTAGGTAGATGGGATAGGCATATCTAATTGCCATGATGTACACTTCACCATGAACTTACAACTTTGTAAGTTATACCTCAATCAAGCTGAAAATACACAGTTCACGTTTCACTGTGTATTCTCTCCCCGCCCGCCCCAAGACATAACCCTGAAATACAAGTCTCTGGGGCAGAGTCTGAACCTGCGAATAGCTGAATCTTAACTTTCTCTCGGGCATTTGCATGCTACAGTTCTGCTTAGCGCTGCTCGACAACGTGACACTTTCCCCACTGCACTGGAAGCGTGACGCTGAGCAGCCAGTAAGCAAATGAGGATAGTTATAGACAGGGCTGGGCCAGGTGGGAAGAGTGGGAGCCTCGGTCCTCTGGCCACAACCGGTGCTGGCTTGCCGGGCCTGGAGAACTGTTCTTCTTTAAAATGACGGGCCCTATGTGATCTCTGGCAGAAAAAGGGAGACCACCTCGTACACAAGGGGAAATCAGTAACTAAGAACACACACAGCTTTCCAACATCAGTCACCAGTTACCATGGTGATGCAAGTATTACCTAACAACTCACTGGGCTATGAGTGTCCAAGATCCTGCTAAATACATTGCTTGGAAAAATGGAAAATGGGCTCTCATTTTAGGAAAACTTGCAAGGAGCTAGCTGGACCTAACGGCACACGGCAGGCCACCCAGGTTTGCCCCGAGATGGAGGCCCTTCCCTGCCCTGCAGTGCTGAGCACTGTGGAACAGCTGCAGGGGGAAAAGGCATAAATTCTTATTTACAAACAGCCTCCCCATCCCTCAAACGCTTAGTAAAAGAACAATCCCTGCCCAGCTGGTGTGGCTCAGTGGTTGAGCATTTAAGCACTGACCCATGAACCAAGATTTAACTGGTTAGATTCCTGGTCAGGGCTCATGCCCGGGGGTGTGCGGGAGGCAATCAATATATCTCTCTCATTGATGTTTCTATCTCCCTCTCTCTCGCCCTCTCCCTTCCTCTCTAATATATATATATATATATATATATATATATATATATATATATATATATATATATATATATATTTAAATATATTTAAATATATTATATAAATATATAATAGATATATATATATTTAAATATATTTTATTGATTTTCACAGAGAGGAAGGGAGAGGAATAGAGAATCAGAAACATCGATGAAAGAGAAGCTTTGATCAGCTGCCTCCTGCACACCTCCTACTGGGGATGTGCCCACAACCAAGGTACATGCCCTTGACCGGAATTGAACCTGGGACCCTCCAGTTCAGGCCGATGCTCCATCCACTGAGCCAAACTGATTAGGGCTAAAAATATATATTTTTAAAAAGAATAATCTCAGCTGTCACTGGCCAATGAAGAGAGACAGATAGAATGGCAGGCTTAGGTGGCAGTCCATTTTATTTTATTTTATTTTGTAACGTTTATTGATTTTAGAGAGAGAGAAGGAGAGGGATAGAGAGATAAAAACATCAACTAGCTACCTGCTGCCCGCCCCCTACTAGGCGAAACCCAGGTATGCACCCTGACTGGGAATTGCACCCTGACCTCCTGGCTCATAAGCCAGAGCTTAACAACTGAGCCCCGATGCGGGGAGGTGGCAGTCCCTTTTAGACTCAACATGAAGTACTTCCTCAAGCAGAACAATTTCCCAGAAAATGTCTAGGATGCCCAATAAAATGATCATTTTCCGACTGTTCTGAGGAGTTTAAATTGGCTGAGTCTATGTTAATTTTAATTAGAACAAAAGCATAAATATTGCATGAATTTTTAAATTTTTCCAAGAATCAGCTGCACACGAACACACTCCTAGGTTGAACTTAGTGCCTGACTGCCATTCACGGTGCACAGAGCCCAACTCGGAAGACTGGCCCAGGGCACAGTCCTCCAGGGGCCGCACAGAATCCCGGGAGGGCTCTCTGCAGGCAAAACCCAGGGCCGCATCCCAGGCCTGCTCCGTCTGAGGTGCCCAGGTTGGGGTCTAAAAATCTATACTTTTAAAATGTTCTCCCTAGGACGCTATGTTCTCTAGTCTGAGAATCCTGTCCTTAGGAATCTCCAATGAACTCCAGTCCCCTGACAATGGTGACAGAAGACAGGACAGCCACCAGGGCCCACAGGCCGAGAGAGGTTAATCAGGGCAAGGCCTACAGCCCAGGGCAAAAGACCAGCACAAGCACATGATTTATGTTTGTGTGTGAGAGATACACAAGCTGTGCAGGTGATACACTCCAACCTAGTCTATTCTATTCCAATTTTCCTTACTATTACAATGAACTGAATTGATTTCACTATCCACTAACCGGTGATGTTTGCAAAACTCTACTATAACTTCAACTATCCTGTAATTTTATCACTTAATAATTTTCACACTTTTTCATATTATACCTCAATGAGTAGAAAACCATCCAATCTTTTCCAATGATGTCCCAAAGTCACAATATATTAGTTGCCTTTAAAAGGCGAACCAAGTTGAAATGAGACAGTTCTGCTTAAGGCGACCAATAGCAGCATATTTCCCTGCTAGCACTGAACTTTACTTATCTACTCTTTGTCTTACAAAGAGCAGTGTGCAGATTATATGAAGGCAGGAGAAGATAAATGGAAAATGTTAAGGAAATGAAGCATGAAGACAGGGGACTAAGTGTCTGTGGAGTGAGTCAAAGGAACAAGCCGCATTAACAGCACGCCAGGAGGCGTAGGCCGGTGTTACCCTCAGCACTGGCGCCAGGGTGGCCAGGAAAGCACAGGAGTTATGAAAATTCCAGTGTGCGTCTGGACAGAACAAGGCAATTTCTGGAAGCATTTCCAAGCAGTGGCTATCCTCCCTCACACCCCTACACACACTCCTCATGTAAAGTGTGCAGTCACGGTGGGTGTAAGGCCCGTTACTGCATCCACCTTCCACCACCACCTGACTTGTGGGTAAACCTGGGGTTACTCTAGGGACCACTGATGGAGGAATAATGCCCAGAGCCAGAGGTCACCCCAACCCCCCTCCTCCCAGAACTTTCTCCCTCCTCCCAGGACATTCTCCCTCCTCCCAGGACATTCTCCCTCCTCCCAGAGAATTCTCCATTTACTTCTGTCCCACGCTGCCCACCTCTCTGTGGTGAAAACTTTTCACGGGGCTGCCCCTCCTCCCTGCTGACAGCCCCAGGTTGTATGTTCCACGAGGACCATGTTGGCACCTTGCATCTCAGTGGATGCTCCATAAAACTGAGCTGGATACTCAACTCCTTTAGCAAGCCCCCGGTAAAAACGATGGAAGCAAAAAGATGTGGACTTGCTTCTGGATTCTCGGTCACTACCCTGGAGATGCTGACCGAGCCATTGGGCTTTTTTGATTCAGTCCCTTATCTGTCAACAAAAGCCAATGTACGTGCATCATGGGTGAGTCTCGAGGAAGAAATCAACAAACAGATGTAACAAGCCTGGCCCACTTCTGGGCATCCAGTAGGTTCTGAAGGAAGGTCAGTTTTCCCTTCTCCTCCTGATTTCCCCAACCCTCCCCTTCTCCACGCTTCCCATGGCATAAACATCACCAACAAGAAAGCAGGGCTCCCAAAGCCGCAGAACACTCCGAGCCTGCACAACGCTGGCTTAAAAAAGGTCTTGTCATTGTTTCAGCCATTGAACAGGGCTTAGACATTGCTGGGGGAACTGCCCGTGAAAGGGAGCTAGACTGCCATCCAGGGTCCCACTAATGCTTCAACCACGCAAAGCGAGAGAAAATGAGTCAATTCGCTGTTAGAAGGCAAGTGCAGTGCTAACACAGGGCAGGGAGACCCGTCTTCACTCCTGGATGGGCTGAGCGCCGCCTGCTTAGCACTGACGGGGCAGCTCTTTGCTGTGCACACTCCGCCTCCTGGAGGGCCAACGTGAAATGTAGACCAGCACATCTGGTCCTGAGCGGAAGAAACGTCACTTCTGTTTTAACTTCTTTTAAAGCTAACTGCCCTGGATTCAGTCCCGGGCAGACCTACCTTCTCCGTGATGTAGAAGTTCGAGCTGTCGGCATGCTGCAGAGCGAAGTATTCATGGTTGGCCAGGGACCACCTGAAAAAGGAAGCATAAACCGTCAGAAAACCAGTAAGCGATCCCTCTAATTGTTAGTCTGGTAGAGGTAAATGAATTGAAGACCCTATCACATACCCCACAATGCAGTTCCTAATTCCAAATGATATCAGGCACCTGTCACCCGAAGACCCGTTCTCCCTACCCCCCTTCCCCCTCAGGCCCGTCCAGGTTTCATTCCAAGCCTCCTGCTCACTGCAGCTCTTCATCGTCCTGGCTGTGGGCAGGGATGATATTTAAATATAAAGTTACATCCCTCCCTATTTTGAAGCTGTGGAGCAGAGATGGGGAAACAAAGGAAATGAACGCAATTTAAGCTTTCGGTAACTGTTGCATTTCTATTGCCTCTGCATGCTCCAACCCCCAGTCACTCTGGCTTGCTGCAAATTGGAACATTCTAGTGATGTATCCTGGATCTTCAGTAAATCCCAGGTACCCTCTAGCCACAGTTCTGCTTTACGAGAGAAAAACACACAAGCAACTAGTATGTGCTTTCTGCTGACTGTGTGCGTGGCCAGAGGCGTGGGAGAGCAGTTGTTGTGATGCCACGTGGCAGCAAAGTGGCCCCTGACTTGGTGAATGATTGATTTCCTCTTCCACGGGGACCGGATACCCAGTGGAGTGAGCATTTACCTCTGTGTCCTGTGAGACGGATGGATGAGCACAACCTCTCACAATAGACAGAGCACCCCCCACCCCCCGCCCGAGTACCCACACTGGCCAGCTCACATCTTCTGGTTGAGGAACAACGGGAGCTTCCCAGAGGAGAGAGGCATGCACATCTTACGTAGGCATCTGGGTGTCTTTGAGCAGATAAAGGGGTGACTTATGAGTGCTATCTGACCATCTCACGGGAATATTCTATTTGCCCCTCAAGTTGTGGCCCGGAGCCCCTCAGGTGAATCCTGAGTAACAACACTCACCCGTCACAGACTTCCTTTATTATCGCAGACAGCGGTTTTTTCTGCAAAACAGCAAAAAAAGGAAATACTGTTAGTTTCATTTCATCATTTTAAATGTTTAAAAAAGGAGAAGCAGAAGGCAAGTGGAGATCTCTAACCAAGGAGACTTTCCACTTGCTGTTCTTGGTTGTTCTGAAGAAGCCATTGCTATTCTCAAGGTAATCGCCTGGCCGCCATCACCGCCAAATATGCTGAGGACTGATGGCCCAGGTGGCACTTCCCTCTATTTAATAGATTAGCTGAACAAAATATGCATCATCTGCCGCTCAGCCACATGGAAGTCAGGGTGGGAACACAGCGTGGCGCGAAGATCTCAGGCCCGCAAGGTCAACGACAACCAGAACTCCTCGGAGGCCATGGGTTGGGCTACCAGCAGCCTGCTTGTACGCAAACAAGTGTGGACTCATGCTATTTTCATGGAACATGTGGCATATGAAATAGGAGGTATTGTGAATTTTTTCCTTCTGAGAGCATAGAATTCTTTCCATATCCCTGGCACTGACAAACGCCAATCACGCAGCAACTTGAGCTGGGCACAATTGAGTAATGGGACCAAGCATGTGCCCTGGTGTCAACTGGCAGCTGGCACAGCTGGTCCCCCTGCCTAGCAGCCACAGCTGTGCTCTGCCCGCCTCCAGATGGAAGGAATGCGGGGAGGCACACAGCTCGCCCAGAGATGTGGAAATGCTTTCTGTTTTGGATGCGTACAGACCCTGCCTGTCTCCTGGGGTGTCAGCCAAAAGAACGAGTCACAGACCAAAACAAATGGGGAAGAGAAATCAAAGGATCACACACGTGGTCCAAGATTTTCAGATACACCATGAAACTCTGTCTACATATAACTGAGTCTTAGTCCCTTCCCTCTGAGGGCAGAGTGGTGTGGAGAAAGGCCTTCACAGCCAAGCAGGACCAGTTCCAATCCCAGCTCATCCGCTTGCCTGCAGTGGGACCTACAACTTCCTTCATTTGCTGAACCTCAAACTAGTTTATCTGTAAAATGGGCATAGGACCTACTCTCTCAATGGGGCTGAGATATAATTAACTCAAATTAAATTACATTAGAATTAACACAAAGGGCAAAGGACACGAGAAAGGGTTCCGGTTCTGTCTTCCTTGGCCTCTCATGTCACTAGAAGAACATTTCCTTCTTGCACCTTTGTCCTTGGACACAATGCTACCGTATCCTCCCTCCTGTGAATTCAGAACACTGTAGTCCTTTCTAAGGCCCTCCAGCCCTGCCCAGAGCTCTCACTCTGTCCTCACTGTTGTTCCAATGACCCCCTCCCTCTGGAGGTCCAGCCTCTATGACTGAGTGTTCAAAATAATGTCTGCCGACAACAATGAACAAGTGGGGGAAAGAAAGACCTAGAACTGGGGAGTGGAAAGATGGTGGGGTATTCTTGCCATCCTGAGTTGGTCTCCTTTAGAATAAGATTAGGAATGGGGATCGAGCTCTACCATGAAGTTACATGTCACATTCGTCCTAGGCCTTTGCGAACACTTGTCCATGAATTTAGCTGTAAGTTAAGAGGCAAATCAAATGAATAAATAACTGTAGGAACAAAACTTCTCCCATAAGATGAAGACTTTGGCCTTTCAGTTTTTCATGAAGACCAATCAGTCCCTGAAACCCCTAACCTCACTCCCTATACCCTCCAAACTGAAACGTAAGTAACAGAGCTGGATTTTAGCCTTAAATGACATTGAAACCACAGATCAGGCCAGGAAGTGTTGCTATAGAGGTAAGGAAAAAGCACCTGACATCACAGCTCCTGGAATCTGACTTCCCAGTTGAGGTCTCTTAGAGGAACTTGTGGGATTTTAATTCAGGTCTGACTCATAGACTCAGAATCAAATTTGAAAAGACAGAAGGCTGTGGACTTCTAGAACGATTACATCTAGGACATTCTGAAGATGGATAGAAGGAAGAAGTAAAGACTGTAGAAAAACCAAGCTTAAACATTTACTAGAGAGGATTAAAGAACAACTCTTAAGCCACAGACGAAAAGGAATCACAGTGAACTGAACATGACGCACCCATTTATGCAGCCTCACCTGAGCTGATGGCATGTGAGGATGAGGTTGGTCCCACGGGCCACTTCCTACACCTGCCCCCTCCAGCCTTCTACCTGCTCCAATGAGACATGAGCTTCCACCACCACGCAAACCTAGTTCCAATGACTTTCACAGTGCTCATCTCCCTTAATTCGCCCATCTATTTGATACCATTACTACCACCTTCTCTTTGACACCCTCTTTCCTGCGCTTGTGTTGTATTTCCTTCATTTTCCCATACTTTAACCAATCCAACAAAATCCAAGAGATACTTCCTTGTTTCTCTTTGACCTCTAGTGTCCAAAGCTCCATGCTTCTGTTCTTGTGTCTTCTGCTTTTACTTAATCGGTCAGTTCCTCACTCACTGCAACTGCCCTAAATCTATTCTGGTCCCAGAACCCTCTCTTGCAAATCTTTGACAGCTTGTTAAAAATAGCATTTTAACTCTCCTTCAGGCATCTTATTTAAATATAAAACAAAACGCATCACTCTCACCACTCACTACCCATCACTCTACCCTAACATAGCATGCCCCCAAAGTCCTTCACCCCTCACCATGACGACCGTCTTGTTGTAACTCCGCTGCTGCCAGGGAAATCATTACCTTTATTTTCTTAATCTCCAGGTCGAATTGTTGACAAGGTTGTGTAGCATTTTCCTCTGTGATGCTCACATTATTACCTCTCTCCTCCTAACTACCCTTCTCAAGTCCCGATGCCCCTCATTCCAACTCCTGCTATCGGATGAGTCATTCCCTAATCCCATCATCCTTAATCCTGCTTCCCCAGGCCCAGCGCCTTTCCTGAGAACCAGCCCATCCTTACTAACCACTTGCCAGGCGTGTCCCATTAATGCTCCACTGGCATATCAACCTCAGGTTCCTACCTTCCATTAGCTCCTCCTTTTGGCAGTTCTCCAGAGGACCCGCCTTCTCCTTTTCTTTGCCCTATTCTGTGATAATCACGTTTACAAGACACTGAGGCTCATCCTCATTCCTCCACGCTCTCTCCTTTGTCCTTTCCAGACCTTATCCCCACCTTCGTTAAGAACTCGCCTCGGGATCCCATCACCAGACCCCTGCAAAGGAATCTACACATCTCCAAGTTCCCTTCTTCCCATTCCTCACTTGACCTGTAATCAGGCAAAATTAGAGCTTCGCCTCAAACTTTGCTCACGTCAGTCTTTTGCTCCAATATCCTCCACAGATCGCCAATGACCACCATCTGCATAGTGTGTGTGTGGTGTGTGTGTGTGTGCGTATATTCCATACTTTCACTTTATTCATTGTATTTGCTGAACTGTCCCTCTCTTCTTCCTGCTCCATCTCTAACAATGAACCATTAATATCCATGTCAAAGCCACCTCCTCTAAGCACATGTGCCTGGTCTCCCCAGAGAGAGACCACAGCCCCTTTGTAGGAAGTGTTCCCAAAAAACTTGTACCTCTTGTACCTTCTTGTCTCTGAGGACACAGCATCTTGATACATCTGTGTACCTTCACTCGGTACTAGTTTCCACAGGGTGTAAGTGTCAACAGGATCTCAGAGACTCAGTACACTCCTGCTAACTGGGAAAGCCACACACTCACTAACTTTCCTTTAAAAATACAAAAGGCTTGAGTATGAAGCCAACTCTTTGGAAGGACAGCCTGGATTCATCAGTACTCCATGGCCCATGTCCTACCACGCCAGCCACTGCTGGGCTGGAGGCAGCTGCTGGCTCTAAACCGGTGGACCTGTGAGGGCTGTCGCTGCTGCCTGCTCAGACCCCTCACCAAGGGATTGCGTGATTCACGACCTGGAAGAGCCCTGAGCGAGGCAGCTGATGGAGCGTGTAATTCAACAGGTGATAAAACAGGTACCAATCAAGTGACTGTCCCAACCCCTTAGCAAGGCCACACAGGTGATCAGCACAACTTCCATAAGCAGATGCTGAACCAGATACCCCAACAGAAAACACTCCTCCAGAACCAGTGCCCAATGAAAGCCTCGGTGGGTGGGACAGCTCTGCGACTGACCCCACTCCCAGCCCAGCCCCAGCTCTGCCAAGCTCTGCTTCCTGTCTGCTGGGTTATACAGGATGCTCCTACCTGCCCGGATCCGCCTACCTGCCTGGATCCCTAAGACACAGGAGTAGTGACAAGGGCCACACCTTGATAGCCTCCTGCAGGCCCGCTAAATAAGTTCCCTTCCACCTCATTGAGAAAAACGGCCAGGAGAAAAGAAAATCTGGTCTAAAAGAATGAAAACTGGTTTTTCTCCTGTGACTCCATAAACCCCAAAGGAACGAAAAATAAAATCCTATCCTCTATTTGAATATATCTGGATTTAGGATACTGAGGCAAAATTATTTTAACTGCCTGACCATGTTTTCTTAACTTACAAACATTGTAACTAAATTCCTTCAGCTTTTTGTATTTTTTTCTTTGTTTTTGTGGGGGTTTTTTAATTGAATTTATTAGGGTGATATTGGTTAATAAAATTATATAGGCTTCAGAGGTACGATTCTATAATACATCATCTGTGCTCACCACCCCAAGTCTCCTTCCATCACCACGTATCCCATCTTTGCCCTCTCCTACCTGCTTTGAAGGTCAAGATTGCTTCCTAAGACTCCCAGCCAGCTGAAATGGGAAACGCTGGTTTTAAAGATAACCAGGAGGCCAGACAGTCGTCATAGATTTCTCTGTGCATGGGATCAGGGATTGTTGCACGTTAGACCCAAAACGCATTTTCTTCCCTGTCCCCTTAGGCAATACAGGAGAGCACTTCTTCACTTTATAAAAAAATTAATGTCAGCGGAAATATTTTTATTTGTCAAGCAAAGTATGCATTTCCATACAAATTGTTGGCAAAGCACCACGGGCCAACAGTGATGTTCACGGAGTGGCTCTTCCTGTTGTTTTGCTGTTTTTGTTGATTTATTCACCCCTTTTTATTTTAACTTTC